TCCACCCGCACGTTAGCGGTGTCATATCTTCACCTGACGTTCCATCAGTCACCGACTCTACCAGCGTAAGCCGCACCAAGGCATTGCGCAGCACCGACGGTGTCATCCGTCGTCCTCGAGCGAGAACTCCAGAAGAGTTCTACGAGCAGCGGCCCATAAGACCCCTGCCAAGGCCAGGACACATCTCTACGGGAGGTCGGCCCCCTCGTGGCACTAGTTCAGTTTCTATTATCCAGACTCCCTCAGTCAGACGACCGAGACTACCTACAGGACCATCTGGCCCAGATCTCAATCAAGGGACATACGTCGAGACCGCTACTGGGTCTCATTTCATCTATTCTCTCGCCGTCTCCATCATCTCGACTCAGCGCGTCGAAGGCACCCTTCGACAGATTCGTATCCTACTCACTAAACGATATCGTCGTCAGCTTGATGACCACGACATCCTCGATCTCGAGCATCTCATACTCAAGCTCGAATCCATCTGCACTGACATCGCGGAATTCAAGCTTTCCTTCGTTCACCAACACGTGGTTCGCGACTTCTGCAACTACATCCAGGAAAGGAAGCATCAGGGAGGAGAAGCTCGCTGGATAATCAGAGATATTATCTAGAAGTATCGTCTAGGAATACAGGTCACAGGGCGACCTTTGCTGTAGATACGAACATTCATTTTGTATATGTCTTCATCTGGCGATTCGAACAATCTTGATAACTTCGAGCAGTTAAATCCAATCGGTCACACTTTCGATTATCTTTGGGATTCAATTCCACGTGTTCTTCGAGACAGAGCAGGCGAAGCGTTTGCTACATACGAGGACATGTTCGACATCGATTACCACGACGTATATCACATCTACGCCCTCCAAATCTATCCAGAATTTGATTGGAGGAACGTCGCAGTTCACATCTGCTATATCCCTATCAGATCCGAAGAACCCGAAGACCGTCTCACCGAAGCTTACAATAGCTTCGTCGATTGGCTCGAAGAAGTCGAGCGTATCTGCGAAATTCACCATAACCATCAGTGGCCCGCAGTCAGGGACAAGACCAGATTTTTGTGGCAACCCTTCGTCAAGGTCATCCATCGAGACCTTTGTTTGCTACGAAACCAACGCTCAGGACGAGTAATTGCCCGACAGGCTACGATCGCCAATAGGCACATCATCGAGTTCGAAGAACACCTTCGTGAGATAGAGGAAGAATTGTAAGATGACGACTCCCACTCCAAATGATCCAAGCTTCTCTCGGGCTCCATCTCCGGAGCTTCCCGCATGACTCAATATTGTATTGCAACCCCCGAATCCTATCATTCGTCAAGCCCTCACCGACACGGCGCCCCCAAATGTGAACATACCCGAAAATGTGAAGAATTGGGTAGTCGATCTCGTCACAAACATGGTGGAAGAAATGCGTCAACAAATGGTGGCGCATTACAAAAATCTTATCCAGCGCCAAGCGCATACAATGGAACGTAACACCACGGAGTTCCACAATCGAACGGTCTTCTTAGACCAGCATCGCCAACAATCTGAGTCTAGAATTGCAGACTTGGAAAAAACCTCAGCAGCTTTAGCTGAGGATAACAAAGCCATTAACGAATCGTTGGTGGCATTTGACGATGAGGTCAAGGATCTCCAAACCAGGATGGAAGACCTAAAGAAATCACATGATCGACTTCGCGCATGGGCATCTACACAGGGATGGAAAGCAGGGCAAGGCAGTAACAATGTCGACGACACGGACGACGACGATGAGCCATCATTTGATCGCAAGGGTAAAGGCGTAAAAATTGACCAACCAGAAAAATATGGTGGCAATAAGGACGGAGTCAATCTCAATGATTGGCTCAAACAAGTCATGCTCTGGTTGAAATATACTGGACATACAAAAGACGAGTCCAAAATTATGTCTACCCTATTGCTCCTGAAAGGAGGAGCACGCGAGTACATGCGGCATTGGATCACCGAAATAAACGAAAACAACAAGGCACCTGGAACTTGGGCGGAGTTCGTTTCAGAACTTCGCATGGCATATGAATCATTAGACAAGGATGACAAGAAGCGAACGGAGTTAGAAGCCTTCATCAAGAAGGATCATCGAGACTTCTGAAAGTTCGCGGAAGACTTCCGTCCAAAGGCAACCGATACAGGCTTCTCGGATCAAGACTTGATCGAAAAGATCAAGAAACATATTCCGAAAAAAAACGTGGCTGCTCATGCTGGCAGACACGACCAAGGACAACTGGCCCAAGAAGTGGACCGAATTCCTTACATTCGCACTCCGGATATTTACATCATTACAACGAGAAGGCCACCATGCCAAGGCTGAAACCAAGGACCCGAATGCTATGGAGGTTGATGCAGTCGGGAAGAAGGGAAGAGTAAATCGGGCAAAGCGCGAAGCGTACAAGACGATAAGTTGGTCTGCGCCAACTGCAAGAAGAACAAGCCGACGTTCTTCAAATCGTCGAAACGTTTCGGCAAGTATTGCACCAATTGTTTCAAACTGGACCATGTCAAGAGGCAGATCGAGAAGGAGAAGGAGACCGCTGCGAAGAAGAAGGACGGGAAGAAAAAGGACGACGCCAGGAACAAATCCAAGTCATCCAAGACGCGACAAGTAGCATCGGATTCCGCTTCATCCGATAGCGAAATGGACACGGACAGTGGTCCCGACATCAAGAAGCACAAGAGCTCTTCCTCTAAGACTAAGGGGAAGGGTAAGGAGACAGCTGCGCATATCAGCGACCGCAGCATCCACTCGGAAAGCGAGCCTGATGCATCTAAGTCAGATGAAGATTTCGCCGCGATCCTCTCAAGGCTCAGGCGCCTGAGGGCGAATGGATCCAGTTCATCAAGGAAGGTGGGAGAGGGCTCTTCAAGGAAGGATCGGAAGGGTTTTCTCAAAGGGGATCTGTAGGCAGCTCGTCAGAGTCCCCCGAACATTATATAAGACCTGTACATTTAGCACCCTGCTCAGACACCTCTGTAGATCGTCGCAACGCAGAGGATGATAATGTAACAATAAAGAATTCGTCTTCAAATTTATCATCATTCTATTTACCAGTTACATTATGGGTGTACGGCAAAAAATCGAGCGCCGAAGCTCTAGTCGACTCAGGAGCATATTCCATGTACATCAGCAAGCAATTTGTAAAGAACAATCGAATCGCAACCTCCAAGCTAAACACTACATACAAAGTGTACAATGCTGACGGATCCCAAAACAAACATGGTGAAATAACCGACTATGTAAAAGCATACCTCAAAGTCGGAGATCATGGTTCTACCCATCGTCTGCTAGTCACAGACATCAGGAAATTAGACATGATCATTGGGATGTCATATTTACATCAGCATAATCCAGAAATCAACTGGCAAGCTGGAGAATGGAAATACTCACGATGCCCGAGTACGTGTCACCACCAGAGGCTTCGTAAAAAAACAATAAGCCATTGCGAGAGAGGAAGCTGAAGAAATCTCGCAATGAGCACGACAAGTGGCAGATGAGGAGCCAACTGCATTCAAAATGTTTAATGGACACAACATCGATGCAGTAAATCCTATCATCTCGTGGGTCGAAATAGACGACCCCGAAGCCGAACAAATAGCCCACATGATACTTTCTATAGCAGATTGTGGCTATGCTGAA